ATTGATTCAGTATACTGTACACCTGAAACTAATATGACACTCTACGTTAATTATACTGAAATTTTAAAAGTCAACAGAAGGAAAAATTTATACATATATATAAGGAAAGAAAATCACTTTTTTTTTCTGATTATGGTTCCAATTTGGAGAAAGACATACAGGGAAAATGAATAAGGGAAAACAGGCAGATGGAGATGTGATTAGGGTAGAAAGAACAATGCCACTCCCTCCAACACACACACACACACACACACACACACACACACACACACACACACACACAGAAAATCAGTGCCTTCCTACAAACTCTGGGCAATTTACCAGAAGTGGTACCCATTCGTCCATGTCTATTTTCCGTATCAACTCCCACCAAAAAATAACCTGTCTTTCAAAACATTAAACAGAAACTCAATTTTGAACAACATTCCAATAAAACCTACCTAGTTTACCTTACTCTTTGGAGCTAGGGTGGTTAAGTTCTCTGTCCTGGTAAAACTGAGATGGGGCAATGATATAAAGTTGGCTGGCCAGCATCACGCCAGATCTGACATTCAAGGATCTTATTTCCTCCAACAGGTAATTTTAGATCCAAAAGAGTATATTTTGCATTTTCATTACTCTTTTCTTTATAATAAAAGTCCTCTTTGATTGTAATATTGTAATACTAATATATTAGGAAAGCAAAGAGTCAGGCAAGCCTAAGTTAGACAGGGTGGGAGAATAGGAATATGACAAACTTTCAATCAACGGCAACCTAAGCTGGGACTGCCATCTTGTACAACCAGGGGCTCCAAATGCAACGTGAACTATGCAACTAGTAGCCTTAACTCAGCAGCTGAGGAGTACAGGAGGCTCGGACAGTACTCCCTCATCTCTGTTGCTTCTGCCCCACTGGTAACCCCCACTCCCTGGATTACCAAAGAAGGAGGTGATGGTATGACAACTTCAGTAGAATGTTACCAAACTCCTATCAACTCTTCCAGCATCAGGAAGAATATGGAGGGCTCCAGAAGTCACAGCAAACAAAACAGATGGTTCCATCAGCTCCCCAGGACTACAACCAAGGGTAGCGGGAACTCTTCTCCACTTAGTTCAAAGTTCACCGAGTATCTGCTGGGAACCATCCAGTGGTCAATCAGAGTAGAATAGGCTTACCCTTCGCATTAATCTTTCCAAAGTTGTAATCTCCACACTCTCGCACTCAACTATAACAGAATCATCAGTTCTCCATTCTAATAGGCACCCACCAAATATACTTACTTGGTAGAACTTATACTCATGTCTGGGAATTAAATTCCAAGTGACTATACTAGTTATCAAAGAGCTGACAGAAGCCTGAAGAAGCACGAAATAAGCAAATCTCCCTGCAGACATCACTTCTTTGCCCATATTATAAAACCCAATTATTTGCACATACTGAGTTGGTCAGGTGGAGGGGCCAGGATGTCATAAACCAAGAGAAGAAAACATTTCCCAGACAAATGATCATCTCTAGCAGCAAGGGGTGCAGACAAGTGATATTTCTATTATGCCCCAGTAAGGTAAAAGGAACACAAAGGCTACTGTTCTACTCCTCTAGACCATTTCACCATAATATGCATGCATATGCATTCATAATATGCATACTTGCAAATATATTTAAGTATTATTTATGATTTCTCGTTATAATCATATAAAAGGATAAAACAATTATTAAAATCACCAATAAAGACCTCCCAACAGAACTACTATCTCAGCATTTTGATTATTTCCTTCCAGGGCTTACTACGCATGTCCACGTTCATAAAAATGGGAATCTTTTTTTTCTTTTATTTTTGAATGTTTATTTTTATTTTGAGAAAGAGCACCAGCAGGGGAGGGGCAGAGAGGGGGAGACAGAATCCCAAGCAGGCTCCATGCTGTTAGCACAGAACCCGAGGTGGGGCCTGATCCCATGAATTGTGAGACCATGACCTGAGCCAAAACCGAGAGTCAGATGCTTAACTGACTGAGCCACCCAGTCAGGGACTGAGCGCCCCTAAAAGTGGGAGTCTTAAGTCATGTATTAGTTTTGTGGATTTGATTTTCCATTGTATTGTAAGCATTTTCCAGTGTCCTTAAACATTCTCTGAAGACAACATTTTCAGTGGACACGTATTAGTACCATGATTTAATCATTCACCTCTTTTGGACCATTTAGGATGCTAACAGCTTTTCACTATTGACAACAGCTGAACACCCTTGGAATACATTTGATTTCCTTAAGGTAATTCAATTCCTAGGAATTTCTCCTATCATAGAATATGAGCTTAAAAAAAAAAAAATTCCTGCTTGAAATTTTATGGCTAAGTTGCCTTCCAGAAGGGGACGGTACCAATTTGTACTCCCACTATCAGTGTATAAGCGTTCTTGTTACAGACTGTTCTCAAAAACACACGGGCAACTCAAATTGCCAACATGATGGGAGAGCAATTAGCTGCCTGAATCGGCCGAGCCTGCAAAGAGGAAATGAGGGTTCTTCTTTCTGCTTCCCTCAGAAATATCAATTTGTACCCTTCTGGGAGCAAGACAGAAGAATGAGCTCACTTCCACACACTTCAAAGGAATCAAGTACCCGCTTTATTACCAGCAACTGTTGAGCGTCCTGCAGGGGAACAGTAAATGTTCTGGTATTTTTAACAGCCCACATTCACAGAGAAAACACAAAGGATATTCGCCACTAATAAAAGCGTGTCGTCTGTGGTATCCTCGCCATTAACAACAGTCCAGCCCACAAAAACCTCATTACTTTCAGAAAGTCAAATAAAATGCCACGCCCCAGAATAAAGTATGAGGTTAGCTGTTACTCCCAAATTAAAAACATATATATGTTGTTTGGCACAAATGCTGATCTCCTCTAATCCCACTCAATTCCTGTCTGTGCTCTTATCCTAAAGACGTTTATAGGGGTGCCTGAGTGGCTCAGTTAAGGTGTCAGCTCAGGTCATGATCTCACAGTCCCTGGGTTCAAGCCCCGGGTCGGGCTCTGACAGTGTGGAGCCTGTTTGGGATTCTCTGTCTCCCTCTCTCTCTGCCCCTCTCCTACTCATGGCCATGCACTTACACTCCCTCTCTCTCTCTCTCTCTCCCAAAAATTAAAAAAAAAAAAATTAAATAAACAAAGACGTAATAAAGTATGTTAAGCTCTTCAGTTTGGAAGCATGCTACAAAGGGAACAGCTATCTCGTTAGGCTGTTTTAAAACACCAGGTTCAACTTCAAGACAGAACTTTAGGAGCACCTGGGTGGCTCAGTCAGTTGAGCATCTGACTTCGGCTCAGGTCATGATCTCACGGTTCATGGGTTCGAGCCCCGCGTGGGGCTCTGTGCTGACAGCTCGGAGCCTGGAGCCTGCTTCGGCTTCTGTGTCTCCCTCTCTCTGCCCCTTCCCCGCTCATGTGCTCTCTCGCTCTCTCCCTCTCTCTCAAAAATAAACATTAAAATAAATTAAAAATTACGTTTAATGCTGTAACTTCCTGGCTGTATCGTTATCTTTGTTGCTCCCATATTTTCCACATGTTGCTAACGTGTCATTAAAAAGTAAAAAGTTGTGAACTTGTTTCAGAAAAACACAACAACAACCGTGCTCCACAACATACAGGGAGGGAAATGCAGAAAGGAGACAAGTCAGAGAGAAACGTAAAATCCCAGGAACCCAAGGATAAGAAGAACCAATGCATGAAAGACCAAACCACAGTCACAGAAACTTCAGGACACCAGTCTTTGTGGCCAAAACCAACACTTCTGGCTTCCCGAGCCTCTTCAAGGTGGGACAGTTAAGTCACAAAATTTGCAAAGTTCGCAGAACTGAGCTGTGAGTTGCAACACCTTTATTTCACTACCTCCCCTCCAATAACTCATGAAAGGAAGTGCAATTCAACTGGAGGGGAGACCCCAGGCTCTGCCTGACCTCACGCTGCTGCAGAGAACAGACCCAAATTCCCCAGGAAGGAACATGGTGAATATACAATGTGTTAGGAGGAATCACCCTGCTTCAGTGTCCGTTCCTCAAGATTCATAAACAGCTGTTCCTAAACAAACAGCGACAGAGTATAGAATTTTCACTTATCTGCCCAGAGTCATCACCAGGTGACCATCAGGAGAGGGGTGGCCCAGCAGGTTAAGGCCAAGAAAAAACTTTTGCAGCCCAGCATGGAGACCCTTGCTGTGCTGGGTATTACCTTCAAGTCACTAGAAGCCTAGGGAATCTGGGGGAAGGGTCAGGACGGGAACCATTTATCAGCTGGGAGCGAAAAATTTCTGTATTATTAATTAGTAGGAGATAAACACCAAGTCCATGTTAAGAGCATTGTACCAGAGGACTGGAAACGTTTCCTTTAAAGAGGAAGACAGAGGGGCGCCTGGGTGGCGCAGTCGGTTAAGCGTCTGACTTCAGCCAGGTCACGATCTCGCGGTCCGTGAGTTCGAGCCCCGCGTCGGGCTCTGGGCTGATGGCTCAGAGCCTGGAGCCTGTTTCCGATTCTGTGTCTCCCTCTCTCTCTGCCCCTCCCCCGTTCATGCTCTGTCTCTCTCTGTCCCAAAAATAAATAAACGTTGAAAAAATAAATAAATAAAATAAAATAAAATAAAATAAAATAAAGAGGAAGACAGTAAATACTGTAGGCTTTGCAGGCGACATGGTTTTGTCATGACTATGCAACTCCACCGCTGTAGTGCAAGAGAGGCCAGAGACAACACGTAATGACCCGGTGCCCAGTTGTGTTCCTTTGGGACTCTACAGAAACAAGCGGCAGGACAGACGTGGCCCACGGGCCATCGGCTGCCACCCCAACCTTACAACACAGCAGGGCCAACAGTCCTGCAGAGCAATCAAACCTTCAGCCCCAACCTCATTAGCACAGTCTTACCAACCGATTGAACCAGCCACCAAGGAGTCTCCTGTGCAGCCTTGATCTTTACAGACCTCGAGAGACGGAGTGCAAGTCTGCAGTCGGGCCCTCCCCCCCAAATTAATACACTCACCCAGAAAAGTCTGTAGTGAGAATTCCATAGTGGAAGATGTATATCCGGCTGATGTGGCATATTGTAAGGTATCCCATTGCTACAAAGAAGGAGTATCTGAAAGCAGAAGAGAGAAGATCGGATGATTACGCGTGGCAGTAACACGATCGGCTTTCTCCTCTTCCTCTCCCTCCCTCCCCACATATCGTCAGTCACAAAGTCCTCTCTGCTTGGTCTGTAACCCAGCTGATCCCCTCCGCTCACTTTTGCATTCACTGCCTGGGACCCTTCATCTTTTCTCACCTGCACACAGCACAATGGAGTCACCCCGGAGGGCTTTACAAATTGCCGATGCCTGGGCCTCACCCCTGCTATTCTGGCTTAACTGGTACAGGATACACCCAGCAGGTGTAATTTCATCGTGCAGCCAGAGCTGCGAAGCAAGAACCTGCAAGATCTTGCGCTCAGATTCTCCTCCTCAGAAACCACTGTGTCTACACAACGATCTTTGTAAAATACAAACCGAACCAGCATTATGCCGCCGACCTCTCCCTTCCTGAAATACTTTGTTCTCTTGGCTTCTCTTCTCCATGATTGCTTCCCGCCTCTCTGGTTAATGCTTCCAAGGTTCTTGCTCAGCTTGTCTTCCTCCACTTACTCCTTAGGTGTGAGCATTCCCAGTGCCCTGCTGGGCACACCCCTGCCCAAGCCTGAGGCTTCAGTTACCACACACCAAGATCACGGCCTGGCTTCCTTCCGACACCTGCCATGACCACCAGGGTACGAACCAGCAACACAAAGACAGACAGACAGACGCGCGCGCGCGCGCGCGCACACACACACACACACACACACACACACACGTACATCATTCAGAACATTCATCAATTTGTAATCACACATACGTGACATTAAAGAACAAAAATTCAACTGAGTAAACTTTGAAGATCGAATTATCTTTATTAAGCGATTTAGCAAAGCGATTTAGCCACTTTAGCAAAGTGGCTTTATTAAGCCACTTAGCAAATAGAGGGGTGCTCCGAGGAGTTGCACAAAATGGAAGGTCTTTACAGGAAGGAGGGTGGCACAGGGAAGTGACTAGGAAAAGAAGGGATTGTTTCAGGCAAGGCCACTTTCCCTTAGGAGGAAGGGTCTCCCCACGCAGATGACCTCATGTTCCCTTTGGGGGATGGAGAGGGCTCATGGGATAGACTCCAGAGGTCATTAGTGCTGACCAGAAAATTCCTGGCTGACCGGTTAAGACTTCCATTTCTGGGGGAGTTTGAAACTGCCCTGGGCCCTAGTTTGGTGAGTTGGCCTACGTGACTCCATTTTGGGTCTGTGGTCTTTTTCATCATGATCATCAAATTAACTGTTGTCTCCCTTACTAGACCATGAAGGCAAGAACGTCTTGTGTGTTTCACTCACAAGAGTGGCCTCCTGGGTGCTAGGTGAACAAAAACCAAATAAATGTTATTTGTCTTAAAAGTCTCCAATGGCTCCCACTGTCCAGTCACATCAAAACTCCTAAACGCAGCAGGCGATGTGCTCCTGCACGGAGCTCTACCTTTCCCTCGTGGACTCCTCACTGAGCACACCCCACGTCCACTTATGCTCAGACGACACCGGCTGCTCTCTCTCCACAATTACAGCTTGCATTTCCAGGCCAGATGTCTTCCGCACACCCCTTCCTCTGCCTGCAACTCCCTCCTCTGTCCTCCAGCCTACCTAGGAACTGTCTAATTACCAGGTAAGGCCGGGCTCCGGGTCAGTACCCCCCGCACCAGCTTGCTCCACCCCTTCCCTCCTACCCCCAGCACAATTCACTGTTCTGCTCCTGGTATATCTCCAGTGCTCCATGCCAACCTCATCATTATGATGCTGAAATTATATGCATGTGTCTGTTACGCCAACTCACCATGACCTGGAGCACCCCAACCCTTGGCCATAGAGGGGGTTCGTGTATGGTTAGCTGAAAGGCACTGAAAGGAGCACATTCAACATTTTAAATGGTGCAGGAGCCCATCAGAAACAGACGTAAATTTAGAAGGTATAACACTGAAACATGGGTCATAAAACAGAGATGAAGCATATTCTCAAATTATATTGAAATTCACGAGTTCATGTTAAAATAACTCATGGAGACCGAATGGTGAGGTAAGAATCATAAAAACACACTTGGTAGCAAGGGAGAGCCAGCTAGTGGGCGTGAAGCAGTTCTGTAAACTCTAAAGCACTACATAACTTTACGTTCTCTTTGCAAACAAAGACGTCCTGACACAAAATAAGACTTTCCCTGCCTCGGGTTCATCCTTAACCCTTTCCCAAACAGAAAGATGGTGAACAAAGCAGGACTGAGAGAAAACAACTCCCTGAAGGGCTGAGCAGAAGCAGAATGGTGCTAGTTAGGCCCTTCTGCCTCCAGCCTCTGTGCTCTCTCTCCAGCCAGTTCGTGAAGGTCAAGGCAAAAGCACGAGGCAGATACAAAAGACAAATTCTCCCACGGCCCTCTTGAATGCAACCATACCTGCTTCCTCTTTCTCCTTCGCAAGAGCTAGACCCATACCTTCCCCTGCCCCCCAGCCCAGCGAAGAAAGGGACTTCAGCTCAGTAGTTATAACAAGTACTGTGTCCCGAGACAACAGCACAATGCATTCATGCTCTGGACGCACCTGAAAAATCTAAGGAATCCAGGAGTGGTAGAGAGATTACGCATCATGTTCTGGAGACAGACCAACAGGACTTCAAAGCCCAGCAATGGCAAAGCTAATGTGGGAAGTTTAAATACTAGCTATTTTATGAAGGAAGGATGTGGCAGAGACTGGGGCATGAGTGATGGTAACATTCCCCTGCTGACCTGGGTGGTGGTAACATGGATGTATTCATTTATGAAAATTCCCTATGTGTATACCTATTTACCTCTCTGAGCATTCATTTCTTCAACCTGTGGGGAGGGGCGGAATCTGTATCCCAATTAATTGTCCTAGAGAGAATATATTTGTAATAATGACGTGAAGTATTAAATATATTACATGATATACTAAGTAAGAGTTTATAGATTCAAAATAATGAAACAGAACTATTTTTTGTAATGTTTTTGTTCTTATTTATGAGAGAGAGAGAGCGAGAGCATGAGCAGGGGAGGGGCAAAGGTGGGGGGGGGGGCACAGACAGAGGATCAGAAGCAGGCTGTGCACTGATAGCAGGGAGCCCGACGCGGGGCTCGAACTCACAAACTGTGAGATCATGGCCTGAGCCGAAGTCGGACGCTCAACCGACTGAGCCACCCAGACACCCTGAAACATATCTATTTAAAAGAGCATGGCTTGGCACTTGGCACAAAGCAGGTACCCCAAAATTGGCAACTTATCATCATGTTCTCACAGAGGCGGTCTCTCCTAGGAGATACAAACTATATTCTGCTCCAGTCGGTCTGGATATGATCAATTAACACCTGTGATTTCTGCCCAACATAGTGGCTTAGGAAGGAAACAGTTGGCACCCCAAGAAATCTGTAGACAAAGAGAAAACAGTATGTCTAGAAATCAGTTAACTCCCCATAGCGGCAAAGCCTGACCTTCCCCGACTCTCCCCAGCCATGTGACGGAACTCTTGTAACTGGCTCAGCAAGGGGAAGAAAACGATTCCCAAAGAATCGCGAAATCCTGATCCTGAAGAAACCTTAAGTTCAAACTGTCACACACGCCACATTTTATAGGTGGGAAATCTGATGTACAGAGAGGCTGCATGACCCTTCTGAACTCACACTGCCAGAGAGAGCCAGATTTCCAGTCTCATGTTCTTTCCCTGCATCAATAGGAAGCAATTTCCCTCCGTCAGGAACCATGAACCGCTCCCTACTTCGGCAGTCCTGGCAAAGAAAGAGCTTGTGCTGGAGTCCTTTTTGGTCTTATGACCCGGGCCTCTGCTACCACAATATTACTGTGGTGGGACAGACACAGCCTGTCCGTAAACTGCTCGGCTCAGCCAAGGCTGGAGTGTTCCATTCCTGGCCAGAGGCTGACACTGGGCCCCGCACGGAACAAGCATGTGCATGCAGGTTCTTGACTCTCTGAAAAATGGTCCACACCGATCGGGATCACACAAGTGTGGAGAGAGCTGACAAATCACAATTTGTAAGGTAGTTAAAAATATGCTACAGAGATATACCCAATTTTTACTAACTGTTGAATGGCTTCCAAACTCAAGTTTGGGGAAAGCCAGACATTTTCACCTCCCACTAACAACGGCATTTTGTCATAATATGGAGCATTCCCAAAGCCCATTCTTACCAAATCAGAAATATAGATTTCCTATTTCCCTTCCGAAGGAGTGACACTATCCCTTTCAAGGAGGGCATTCAGAAGGAAGAGGATGGCAATTCAATTTTTCAGAACTCATTCAGACACTAAGTTGGGTGAAAATAAAATTTTAAAGCATACAAAAATACTTTCCCTTAAAAATTTTTTCCCTCGGAAACAGGAAATTTATTGTAAGTAATTTACCAGATTATACATTAAAAAGTGAAATTTCAATGATTTGCAGAAGGAAAACTATTGTGCTAATAGTCTTATTAATCAGAGTTTTCAGGGAGCCTGGGTGGCTCACTTGGTTGAGCCTCTAGGGCTCAGAGACTCTTGATTTCAGCTCAGATCACGATCTCAGGCTCATGAGATCGAGCCCTGTGTTGGGCTCTACACTGGGCTCTATGCTGGGCATGGAACTTGCTTAAGATTCTCTCTCCCTCTCCCTCTGCCCCACCCCCACTTGCACATGAACTCTCTCTCTCTCTCTCTCTCTCTCTTTCTCTCTCTAAAAAAAAAAAATCAAAGAGCTTTCTGAAACTAAAATAAGGCATCTGCTTTTTCAGGGAAGCCAGCAGAAAAGAACTTACAACAGGACAAATGTCTTTTCAAAGGTATTCATTCATTCCGTAAATATTTATTGAGACTTTACTTGTGACAGATACTGTTCTAGGCTCTGTGGACACAACAGTGGACTGTGTTTTCACGTTTCAGTGTTACAGAAAGACAGAACGAATGCTGGGGTTTCACAAAGACCACAGGAAACACAGACAATGCTAAACAGATACCCAGGTGTCTGAATCGATTATCCAAGCACGTTGCCTTCAAGGCAGAATTAAGTTACTTCTCTGCTTTCAAATCAAAATATCACAGTAAGAATATTTCTTCCTCTTTTGACCGTTTTAGTATACATATTTGAAGTACACAAAGTTTTGACACGGGTCCACGCCTGGAAAGCCACAGCCAAATTCAAGATAACAGACATATCCGTCACCCCCCAAGTGTCTTCCTGTCTCTCCGATCCCTGTCACATCTCCCTGTGCCGCCCCACCCCCCGGGGAGCCTCTGATCTGTTCTCTGTCACTTCAGATTAGTCTGCATTTTCAAGAATAGAAATGTGTGTGGCTTCCTTCCTTCAGCACATTTACTTTGAAGATTCATCCATATCATCGTGTGCTATTAATCCTTCGTTCCCTTTTCCTGCTGAGTAGTATTCCACTGTGGTGACCATCTGGGCGGTTTCCAATTTGTGGCTACCATACAGCTGCTTCTCTTCTGACACGAGGGGCTTGCCACCCTTTTCACAAAGCTTCCTCTGACTGCTCCCAGCACTTAGGGCCCCCCGTCTCCTTCTGATATCCCAGAGAACTTAGGATACGCCACTTGTGACGGGCACGTGGGGAAAGTGCCCCTTGACCCTAGAAACACATTTCACAGGTCATGGAAAAAAAACCTCACCTTGCACGGCTCACTCCCAGAATCTTACCTGTGAATACTGGATACGCTTGCCGTGACCATGATCCCGTAGCACATTAACACCAGCACAAAAAGATGCACAGAGTACCTTTAAGACATCAGGGAGAGAGAAGGAGGAGAGTTGAGTATATTCCAAATGAACATGCCTACTGGACACGCACACTGTGCTCCGCCTATGCCCCCACCAGAAAGCACATGATCTGCTAAATCATGTTTATGCAACAGAAAATACATCAAAGAGTTTTGCTCTGTGTGATTAAGGTACTAGACTAGATCTTGAAGCAGCAGGAGGAAGTCATGACACAGTCTGTCACCTGTGGTGCCAGTAATGTCAGGATCCATAAATGGAAGGCTTGCACTTTGGCACACATACGACTGAGAGTCCAGAAGAGTTCTTTCTCTCTTTAGAACTTTTTTTTTTTTTTTAATTTTAAAGCACCAGGACCAAAACTGATCCTCACCAGATACCAAGACTTTTACCTGGTAGTTGATTCAACATATTCATCATCTTTTCTCAAATTTTTACTGAAGGAAGAACAGCAGTATTATAGTATCCTGAATGAATTCACAAAAATCCTTAAGTTGTATTTCTAGAAATGTTGGTTCCTAAAACTCTTTCCCCGAGAAGTGCCACTCCCAGGGTATTTGGCCAGCTTATCTGGTAGAGAAAAGAGTCATCCGCAGGCTCTCGCTGTTGAGCAATGACTCACACTTCCTAAGACCAGCACTAAAACTCTTCTTCTACTTTACGCACAGGACTAACATCAATTATTATTGTCATGCAAGAAAAACACCAATATCTACAACAGGTAAGAAAGGTTCCTCATCTGGAAAATGAAACCTTATAGCATTCCACTTGCTTGACCCAGGGTAACATCAATGGAAGCACAATTTCTAGAAAAAATTCACCGAATTGACTTCTAATGGATAGTCAGTTTATTGGTTCTAGGTTCTTTACAATAAATGAGATTCCTAGAATATACAATAGTAGTGTGTGTGTGTGTGTGTGTGTGTGTGTGTGTGTGTATATACACATGTATATGTGTATGTGTGTGTGTATATATATGTATGTGTATATATACGTGTGTGTATATATATGTATGTGTATATATACGTGTGTGTATATATATATGTGTGTTTATATATATATATATATATATGTATATATATATATATATATAAAACAATAGAAGTATATATATATATATTTTTTACAATAGGAGTATATATTTCATTTCCTGCCTGGGAAATGCCAAGAATGTTGCCCCAACACACCCAAATGATAAATACTAGAATTTCTGAGGCTCATACTCACCAGCCAAAACAAAAGATGACAAAATAGATGCCAAAAATGGTGGCAAATGCGTGCCGGACATCGGGACTGGTTTTACCAGGACTTAAGTAGATGCGGAACCAGAAAGCGGCGAACAAGGCAAACAGCTGACATGCTACAAAATTCACCTGTTTGGGGGGAAGAGAGAGAGAGAGAGAGACTCAAAACCTTTATTTATCCTTCTGCCTGTGTGAGAATTCTCTCCGGTCTTTTCGGATCTCCGCATCTGGGTGCATCTGCAACTTGGACTTTTTCCTCAGCAGAGTGTTTGTTTGGAAAAGGTTCAGGAGACTGACCGGGTAACCAGGCCCCTCATCTGATGTGAGACGTGAGAAACCCTGAGTTTCGTTCTCAAATTTTTTTTCATTTTTTATATACATATAATTTGTCAAGTTAGCTACCATATAGTGTATACAGTAGGCTCTTGATTCTGGGGATAGATTTCACGTCTAATTTTTCAAGACTAGCCAAGCTTGCTTTCTCACCCACAACACAGAGGGCTTTTCAATGTAGACGGCCTTAGTGACTGTGAGGTCAGTTTTCTGGGTCTCTTTCCACCACATCCCCAGCGCTATCCTAAGATAAAGCACGTGTTCTGTAAGAGGCACAAATGAACCAAATCCATGACGCATCCCTCATGAAATACCTGAGAAACTAAAGGCTTCTCTCCAAAGTCATCATCAACTGTTTGACTCTAATTTTTCTCATTTTAACTTAACACCAAATGAAAAAAATAAAATAAAAACACATGAACACCAAATGAACAAGAGGACAGCTCAAGTTCAAGGAGTGGCACTAAAAAGCCATACACAAAAAAGAAACACCCCCACCTTACACTTCCAACGCCACCCTATCCAATTATTTAAAATAGGCAACAAATTTCCTTAGAAAAGTCTCATTCATCTATCTCTCAAAAATATTGTACGTACAAGAAAATATAAAATAACTCCCTGATACCCTGGGGAAAGACCGGCTGATGTAACACAAAACCCAAATGCATCAGGTGATGTAACCATTAATTACAACAGGAAGAGCGGTTCAAACTTTTCAGAGTGTTCGGAGGGAAAACTTAGCTTCTAGAAGACACTTAACGGAAAAGGGATCGAGGATATAAATACCTGAATAGAGCCTCAAATTCAGCCTCCACAGTTTCTCACACGACAAAAAACTGTAGCTGCTGGTGAAATTCATTAGGGCTGTCTCCCGGCGGGGGCGGAGGCAGCAACATTAGCTCCTCCTGAGCTCACTTTGTTTTCCTGATAAAAACCAAGACGGGGGCGCCTGGGTGGCGCAGTCGGTTAAGCGTCCGACTTCAGCCAGGTCACGATCTCACGGTCCGGGAGTTCGAGCCCCGCGTCAGGCTCTGGGCTGATGGCTCAGAGCCTGGAGCCTGTTTCCGATTCTGTGTCTCCCTGTCTCTCTGCCCCTCCCCCGTTCATGCTCTGTCTCTCTCTGTCCCAAAAATAAACGTTGAAAAAAAAAAAAAATTTAAAAAAAAAAACAAACCAAGAGGACGTGGGGCCCCTGGTAATTCACAGGAAGACTTTTCAGAGAATCTTCTGTTTCGTTTTTGAAAACTGTGCTGAGTTTCCCCTCTGTTTGGAGACCACTCTTCGCGGACCTTTCCAAACACTGATCCCCGCTACTGCCTGCCCTGGCTTTCTACCCTGGAAGACAGAGAGGAGGTGAACCGTGATTCTGGTCTGCATGATGCGGTCCTATCATTTCGTGTAGCCTAAACACGCCACCGCCAACTCTCTCTCTCACGCACACACACAATGGAGAGAAAAATAATCACCTTAGTGAGGGTCCAAATGTAAAAGAATTGGCAACTGGAAAGTCAAAGTTATGATCATCTGTAGGTGATCAATCACACGTTCTTTCATACTCTCGGCCACAGCACAATACGGTCCCCCAGGCAGCAGAGCAGCTCAGGGGAAATTGGTTCCATTCCTTGAGGTTTGCCGGTAATTACTGAGCACCCCTGCACGTGAGGAATGATCCAAAGGGTAGATCGTGTTCTCACGTGCAGTCCCGGGACCAGCAGCCGCAGCTGGAAAACCATCAGAAATGCAAATTCTCGGGGCACCTGGGTGGCTCAGCCGGTTAAGCGTCCAACTTAGGCTCAGGTCATGATCTCGGAAAAAAAATTTTTTTTTTTTTTTTTGAGACAGAGAGAGACAGAGCATGAACAGGGGAGGGTCAGAGAGAGGGAGGCACAGAATCTGAAACAGGCTCCAGGCTCTGAGCTGTCAGCACAGAGCCTGACGCGGGGCTTGAACTCACCGTGAGATCATGACCTGAGCCGAAGTTGGCCATTTAACCTACTGATCCACCCAGGCGCCCCAATGGAAAAATTTTTTAAAAAAGAAATGCAAACTGTGCTCGCTTCGGCAGCACATATACTAAAAAGAAATGCAAACTCTCGTGCCCCACCTGAGACTTAGCTAAATTAGACCTTCCCAAGGTGGGTCCAGCAATCTGTGCTTTAACAGCCCCCCAAGAAATGGGGGTGCACAGTCACTTTGAGAAGCCCTGGGATACAGGAGAAAGGAGGCACGCTGCCTGCCTAGCAGACCTTATACTCTGAGAAAGGAACACAAGAACCCACAATTGTAAAGTAACATTAACATGGCTCAAAGTTAGTACATGATTATTATTCTCTTACATTACACCCCCTTTAGATCCGAAGTAAATAATGAGAAGTTTCACGGTTAAGGAGGGATGAGACTCAGGCTGACAACTAGGAAAAAAACTGTTGAAACAGGTAAAAACTGAGGCGCGGGAGCAGTTAAAGACATGAAAAATACTGCTGCCTGGGGCACCTGGGTGGCTCAGTTAAGTGTCAGACTTCGGCTCTGGTCATGATCTCGCGGTTCGTGAGTCTGATTGAGCCCTGCGTCGGGCTCTGCACTGACAGTGTGGAGCCTGCTTAAGATTCTCTCTCTCCTTCTCCCTCTCTTTCTCTCAAAATAAATTAAAAACCGTTAAAAAAAATACTGCTGCCTGGATCCTATCCCCAACCATTCTGACATAACTGGCCCGACATCAGGACTTTCCAAGGCGTTCAGGTGGTTCTGATATTCAGGCAAGATGGAAGGCACCTGGTTTAGAAGTATAATAAGAGGGACCCTCAGAGGCACCCAGGAGGAAAGGAGGAACTAGACTTTCTCATAAAGAAGAAAAGCACAAATAAACGAGAAGGAGATTGGTGAAGGTCGTGCGGCAGGGATGAGACAGAACAGATTTAAGCTCAATGGTCGTCACTCAGCCAGCCCAGGCATCCTCAGCCTCCTGAGAGTCTCATCAGCTTGGCTTGTCTTAAGGAAGGTGGGTCCTTCTAACCCACCTCCAAGGAAGAATAAGGCTCACTGTGGGGAAACTACCTCTGATCTTGTCACCCTCGTGATCGATAAGGAGGAAACAAAGACTCGCTGGGCCACTGAAGCAATCTGCCCTTGTTCAGCCACCATGATCTCATGGGTAACCAACTGAATATCCTAGCTCTGACTCTCGGGTGTCAGCTGGGTGAGCTTTGGTAATTCATTGATTAATTCTACAAACATTGACTGGCTGATGCTATATGCCAGATACTGGGTACAGCGGGCAAGATATTGTCACTACCAGCAAGTTAGGAAAAGAAGACTTACGTGCTCTGGGTTTCAATTGCTTTTTTCGGGGGGCGGAGGGGGGTTCCAAAACATGTGCTTTGGGAGACCTAGTCTGTAACAGTCTCTGATTCTAATCTAACTCAAATCCTTTCCCTTAACTGGTAGTGGTTAATGCCTAAACGCAAGACCCTTGGGACTAAAAGCTTCCTCCTACACACAGACACAACCCACACCCCCATCCTCTTCCCGGGAGTGAGTCATGGATGGCTGGATGAATGTTCCCTGGCAAACTGTTCCAAGGCAAAAGTGGAAACACACACACACACACACACACACACACACACACACACACACACACACACACAGCGACACCGCTCAGTTCTTGCAGGAGGCTCCTAGCAGGATTGCTTTTCAACCACCAGATGTACATCTTAAAAGGCACAAGCTGAACCACAGTTAGCCACCTCTTCACATCCATTAGGATGGCTATTTTAAAAACAAAATAATAAGTGTTGGCAAGAATCAGGAGAAATCAGAACCCTTATATGCTGCTGGTAAGAATGTAAGATGGTACAGCCACTGTGGAAAACAATATGGCAGTTCAAAAAATTAAAAATATAAGTACATATGATGCAGCCATCCCACTTCTGGGTATTTACCCAAAAGAACTGAAAAAAGGGTCTTGAAGAAATATCTCTCCACCCACGTTTGTAGCAGCATTATTCACAATAGCCAAAAGGTGGAAGCAACCCAAGTGTCTACCAATAGATGAATGGATTAAAAAAAAAAATGTGGCAAATAAATACAGTGGAATATCATTCAGCCTTAAAATGGGGGAAATTCTGACATATGCTACAACATGGATGAACTTCAAGGGCATTATGCTAAGTGAATAAGTCAGTCACAAAAGGACAACTATTCTATGATTCCACTTAAATGAGGTACCTAGAATACAGTAGTTAAATTCATAGAGACTGAAAGTAGGACAGTGATTTCCAGAGACTGAGGGGTAGAGGGAACCGGCTTATTATTTAGTGGATACAGAGTTTCAGTTTTGCAAGATGAAAAGAGTTCTGGAGATGGGTGGTGGCATGGTTGCACAACAACGTGAATGTTCTTAATGCCACTGAACTATCCTATATGCTTAATGGTTAAAATGGTTGTGTCTCCCTCTCTCTCTGCCCCTCCCCAACTCTCACTTTGTCTCACTCTGTCTCTCAAAAATAAATACACGGGGGCGCCTGGGTGGCGCAGTCGGTTAAGCGTCCGACTTCAGCCAGGTCACGATCTCGCGGTCCATGAGTTCGAGCCCCGCGTCAGGCTCTGGGCTGATGGCTCGGAGCCTGGAGGCTGTTTCTGATTCTGTGTCTCCCTCTCTCTCTGCCCCTCCCCTGTTCATGCTCTGTCTCTCTCTGTCCAAAAAATAAATAAACGTTGAAAAAAAAATTTTTTTTTTTAAATAAATAAATACACGTAAAAGGAAATGTTTTTAATGGTTAAAATGGAAAATTTCATATTTTGTGTATTTTATCACAATTTGTTTTTTAAGTATAGGCTGAAGCATGACACCAATTTCTTTGCATTTGCTACTTCTGCGGCCAACGGTGACAGGCTGTCATGACAACAGTTCTTACAGGAACAGAATGAGATCTTGGCTCCTTTCCTCTCTATAGGGCCAACAAAATCGGAGGCATTGTTTTTCAGAAATGCATCCCAAAGTGGATTGTATTTAATGTATAGGATCTGCTTCCAAATAACCTTGAAGGGATGGGTAGAGTGGACTGAGTACAAATCAGTGATTCTCAACTGGGGATGACTTGCCCCCCTCCCGGGAGACATTTTTGGTTGTTATAACCAGAAATGGTGGTGGGGGAATGCTCCTGCTATCTACTGGGTAGAGGCCAGGAATACCGCAAAACATCCTAAAAGGCAGAGGACAGCCTCCCACAACAAAGAATTTCCCGGCCCAAAATGTCGGTAGAGCCGCTATGAACAAATCATGGTATAGACGAAACAAGATTGGCCATGAGTTGAAAACTGAGTGCTGGGCACATGAAAGAGGTCATTCTACTAACCTCTCCACTTGTGTGTATGTTTGAACTTTTCCATAATAAACCGGTTTTAAAAATTATACAACTCTGGAAAGCAAATCACTGGCCTGGGATCATACAGATATTAAACTTTGGTGACTACAAGCAGCTGAAACTGAGAAGGCCTCTTTATCCAAACTGGAGAAACACTAAGTTAATAAAGTAACACACATAAGTACAGAAACAAACTAAAACAATAAAGGGATCGCATCTTCCTAAAGGGGGG